GAGTTGCGGCCATGTGATTGGCTGATTAGAAATTAAGTGTTAACGAGCAGTTGGACAGGTGTACCTAATAAAGCGGTCTGTCTGTCTGTCTACTTTGAAAAACACAGAGGGATGTTTAAACTTATCATGCTTAGACTTGTTGTGTCTTGATAGAAAACCAGGTTATAAAGTTAAATTATTTTGTCCTTCTACATGTTGGGGGACTGTTTATATTTTGTTTCTCTTTATATAAAGAATAAAAAAATGGAGAATCTGTTTGAGTAAATTTGTGGCCTGAGTGTTACTAATATATTACAAAAAAATTACTTGGACAGTTGTTGGTGTGAAACAGAAATCTTAATCAAAATAGGGCCTGTATTTTTTTTTACAGGTATTGCAACAAATAATAAAAAAATAAGTTTGCATATATTTTTTTTAGCCAGGCAAGAGAAAATGAATTTTAGGATTCTGAAAACATCTACTGTATTAAAAAACATCCGAGGCGGCTAGCTAGCATGAGTTGTACCGAACACCAAAAAGTCACCGTGTTATTAAAACGTATATTGGCTTTACTCAGGTGGCTGTCTCTAATTGTCGAAAAATAATATCTACCAGCCAAAACATAGCTAGCTAGTTCATATTGTAATTATTGGTCTGTTTACCTTTGCGTTCCGTAAAAAAAAAGTACGTACAGCTAAATTTTATTTTGCTTAAAACATTCACAAGTCTTCTTCGTCGTTTTTCTCTGCTTTGTGTTGTTCACAAAAACCCTCAAACTTCCTACTGAACTCATTAAGTTGCCAGATGTGGAATGACGAAATGCCGTGCTGCCGCTTTGAAATGACTGTTGCAAGAATACGATAATTTCGGAATATCTGGCAACCCTGAAAACACACCCGTTTCTAATAAAATCACAAATTTATTTTATGTACCTTTACAAATGATCGCAAACAAACACGAGAAGGCGAATGATAATGTGATTGCATTGTCTTAACTTGCGTGTGTTTGTCTTAGCAAAGAATCTTATAAACGTCTGWTTGGATGTTAATGAAACAAAGTATTGGCTGTACATCTGCAACTTGTTTTAAGCAGACTATCATGCTTAAATAAAATGGTAGTAAGCTAAGCATTAGCACAGTGTTTCAAAATTATACTACATATAATGTACACACACACACGCACACACACATTTTTAATTAGGCTTTCAACTGTGTATTTTATTTTTATTTTTACAATTAAAGCCCGAATAAATGATTAAACATATGCTTTTTCAGAGCTGTAGTGTAGAAAAGCCTCCACAGTAGTGACACATGCAGGGACTCCAGATGCATATCTACCTGGCAGCACAATTGAAGTAGCCCCCACATCATACTTTGAGTTAAGAGTCAAAGAAAAGTAGTTACCCTAAGTCTAACTTTAACACTTGAACTATATTGTAAGTACTATATACTGGTTAAAAAAAAATGTCACAAACACAACTAATGTGGAGAAATGAAAAAGCAGAGACACAGTCCATTCTTTTGCTTATTTTTTTATTTATTTATTTCATGATTAATATCCACGTCACTAGTTAACAATTAATTACAATGAACATCTCTTTCATACCAAATACTCAGAATTGAAAGGGGAAGATGAGCACTATCTAACAGGACGGATGCCTTTAAAAAACCAGCTGTTTGTTGTCTCCTGCATGCTCTTGCAATGATGTTGCACCTTACGCAATAATACAGCACACGCTACAGAGGATCCACTCAACAGCACTGAAAAACAAGCCTCTTTTGTCTGTCATCTTGGATTTCTCCTTTAACAGGTGGTGTTTTGTACGGAGAATCAAATGCAGTTTGTTGTGTGTAATTCAACAGGAATTTTATTTTCCACTCTTTCTGACATTTAAACAGTGTTTTGATTTAACTGGGCGGTCAGCCACTAACTGCTGTGTGTATTGGCAACAGGAAAACACATATTTATAATCTGCTGCTTTTTTCAGAGCTGTAGTGTAGAAAAGCCTCCACAGTAGTGAGACACATGTAGGGACTCCAGATGCATATCTACCAACACACACTTTAATCAGATATTTTTCCAACAAATTATTTTAACCTTTTGAAGTTACACCCAATTTTGATTAAACAACCTAGTTTTGTCTTTAACACTGAGAAAAGTAATTGGTCCTGATTCATTTCAGTGTTGGTAGGTATGTCAAAGGTGTCAACATAGGAGCTGTCTAATACAAGACATGACTTAAAACCACGTGCCAAAAGACAAATTCTAGTTATTGTTAGACTAACTGGGAGTGGCGGTAGCCATAAGAGAGCACTGGCTAGTGTGTGTCAATGAACATTTCACATCTATCAAATCAATACTTCCTGTTTTCTTGGACCAAAACTGGTTGATTTTTCGGTTCTGCCGGTAACCAGGTCACTCCTAACATGACACACACTGCCTCCCTTCCTGCTCTGCAGCCTGAATTCAGTAAAAGTGGATTTTTAGTTTCATCCATCTTCCAAAACGGGACAGAGACACACCTCATACACGTATTCGCATCTTAAAACACATTTTAAAAACATTCTTGAAACTTCAGCAGCCCTTTTCTTGGTGGAAAAAAAAGGCAGACTCTGAAAAAGAAAAGCGCACTCTTCCTTCTCGTTATGCTTTCAGTCCTATAATAACACCATCGTTATGATAAACAAACAGGTTTATGAACGCTCAACTGGCAACATCCACAACATCCTGTTAAAAAGTAAGTTTTTTTTCTCTTTTTTAAATTTTAATCAAATACTTTTGGAGTGATAAAAACACAGTGGCGTCTATATACAATGGTCAGTGACATACCAGTGGAGGGGTGTTATTAACGGGCTACAACTGGTGAATAAAACCATCGGATGTTACTTTTTGGCCAAGCTGCAAAACAACATTTACCTTTTCACATCATCCCAGATTGATAATCACTGGGTAGTAAATATATAATGCAGTCTTAAACATAATCATGTAATTGTAATATATATATTAATGTATTATAATAAATAATAAAATGATCTATATCATTGCAGAGAGAAAAGTGCTGGGTACAGACAGCAAGCTGGATTTCTGAGTTCTGCAAAAATAGTAAAAGTATATTATTTTTAAAGTAAGAATATTTGATGAAATTATGTGCAATGAATATGTCATCAGCCAACAAACACTCGAGGTTGCTGCTTTATTTTAGTAAATTTACAAAATTACAAAAAGGAAACAAAATGAAATGTTAATGATCAGTTATCAGTTCTATCTATTTTCTTTTTAATAAGACAAATATTTCAAATAGATTATTTTGAGCTATTTCAATTTTCTGGTTTGCACTAAACATTATAACTGTATCTGTCAGAAAAGTATGAAGTAGAATATTTTTTTCAAATAAAATATTATGAATAACTTTTTTGTTTCTCTTTTGAGAAAAAAAGTTAATAATTTACCCTGAAATATGGGTCATGCAGTTTGTTTTTATTAAATTCATTATTGTTGATCTTCTTTAGGGCATTTTATTTCCTTTTTAAACTGAAGCATAAAATTCAACCATGTTTGAAATTTCATGGTAAAATTAAAACTTACGTCATATGTCGTGCAACAGAACCAATTCAAAACAGATTCGCATCCGTTTTAACCACTGGCACAGAATTGTGTTTTGATAAAACGGACAGGCAGAAAGTGGTCAACTGAACTGGTCGAATCGTAAATAATATGAAAATATTAGTAGATCTGAAATTTTACCCTGAAAAAATTACCCCCTTTTTCCAAATTTTCTGAAAGCTGAGTCACTGAAAAACACCTTCACAGTTCAGTCTTGTTTAAGTTCAGCCTTTTTAATCCTGAAAATCCTTAAATGCACTTCATGCTGAGTAAAACTTGCTTAAGCAAAAAAAAAAAAAAAAAAGATTCTATTACCTTTCAACACGAATCAGGTAATTTAAAGGTCTTAACAACATGTGGTGTATGTGATCTTGCAGCTTGGTCGAAAGGTAAAACCCAGAGAAGGAGAACGACACAAGGGGGGCCGGACCGGGAGCGTTGAGTGTTTTCACCATCAAAGCCAACAGTACACCGATGACCCAAGTTCCACTCAAGTCCACTAAGCTAAAGGGGCACCAACAGGTTAATCCAAGACACACAGCAGCTCATCCCCCTCATACAGTGACGCACTCTTACAACGAGCTCCGTAGACACAATAAAACTACAACTGACTCCTACTCGCCTATAAACGACCCAGCTCCTACGTCTATCAAAGTGCTTTGATACCTTTGTTACGCTGTTCCTGAAAAAAAAAAGGTTCACATTATTATTATTATTATTGTCACATATAATCCACGCATGTGTCATGTGGCGTGTGTTACTTTCAGGCAACTCATGGGAATGGATCAGAGGGAGCAGTACAATAATAAATACGCTTCTATGGTGGCTTTTTTCACGTGTCTAGTTTTAACWGTTGAATATTTGATCGCTTGCTCTTTTTGATCACCAGAAGTTTCACAAACTACCAAGACTGTTTAGTTCCCAGAAGCACRCACGCACAGTACACAGCTGACAAGGTTTTTACCAATATACAGTAAAGCAACTTGAGTACAGTTATTTAACTTTGAGTGCATCGAGAAATGTGTTGAAAGTGCACAGGACGTTTTCAGGGAGCTGTACAGGATGATTTTGATTAAGTGTTCCAGACACAATAATATAGTGCGAGCTTAAATAAGGACAGTATGGACTTTGACTTTTCTGATGGTGTGTGTGTGTGTGTGTGTATTTTTTTCTTTCAGTCAGCTTTTGTGAAGTCAAAGAGCCAGACTATCAGTGTTTCAGAGGCTGAACAGCACTCTCTACAGGATGGATGCTAGTAGTAACACTTCACACATCTGACAACTACGGCAGCACGCCACAGACACGTCACGAATGCCTCAGCGTTTTCAGCCGAGACCGTCCATCCCAGCCTCATGTTGTGACCCATGACAGCCGTTTTGGTCTGAATCGAAGCCACGTCACAGTGTTGGGTAGAGAAATGTGAAACTGAATTTAGGCGATTTCTTCAAACATAACCCAGTCTGCTAAAGACTTTTCTTTTACTACTTTTTTTTTCTTTCTCCAAAGCGGATTGTTTGTGAAATGTTAAAAACTGAATAAAACAGAAAGAGAATTCACACGTCTTCCTGTTCCACAAAAAAAAAAAAACATTTTTGTTCACTAAAAAGGAGTCTAATTCGCAGGCCGTTCTTGGATCTGCTTCACCTAAATACTGCTGCATTCATGGCATTTTGGAGCTGGGCAGTTCCTGCTGTCCAGTGTACTATGAATCTTATTTATTTAACATTCAGTGTATTAAATGGCATCCTATATAAATTAAATAAACATGCACAAAAACGTAATAAAAAAAAGACATGACAACATTTAAAAAACTATTTACTTCATCTATTTACACTACATAGGAAGGGTAAAATATGTGCCTGATGGAGCAGCAGACAGCTAGAGGATTATTATTCTGCTACTTGGAGTATTTACTATWAGAAGCTTGATATTAGTGGGTTCAGTATACAAGATTTTTTTTATAAAGTRTAAGTAAATCACCAAATACTCACGAAGTTCGAACTTCGGACTGGCCATGAATGTAACATTATTCCCTTTAAATGACAGCTACCTCTAGTTCTCACCCTGTCTGTCCCTTTTCTGGCTGTTGTTTATATACATATATATGTGTGCAAGTAACAAGAAGCCTTCCATGATAACATGACTGTATTGCTGTCAATAAACTGGAGAGTAGTCAAGAAAAGTGGGACAATTATATATCGATGACATCAACAGGGGWTCGGAGTTATTTTAAAAGTTCCAACAAACTCAAACAAAAAGTGTCTGTTTCAGTCTAGCGCTTCGAAATTCTGTCTTGGTCAGCATCTCACGTTTCTTTTATAGTGCTGATTGTGTGTATCCTAGTAGTTGTGAGTGTGTTTCCCTTCATGCACACTTACAGGTGTGTGTGCTTACTTTTAGCTATACTTATACATACTGTATCTGTGCTTACGTGTGTGTATGTGAGAAATTCTCAAGTTTTTCAAGAGAGGGTTTTTTTTTTGACRCATTGCTTAGAGTGGGGCTCCAACAAGAAGGTAAGGCTCTGTAGAACTCCTGCTAACCAGAAGGTCCCTCATGGGAAGTTTGAGTGTGAGAGAAAACATCATCAAAGGTTAGTTTTTAAATACTTTCATTAGTAGATGTTGAATGCAGCGCTTCAACATCTACTGTAGTTTCAGGGCTTGTGCTAAGACCGTGTGACCTTTACCAATCTGGTTTTCTAGATTTAGCTTTCTGTCAGAAAGCTGGAACACTCAGACTTACGTAGAACACGATATATATTTTGGTTATGGATTATTTCAGATAAATGCTGGCAAATACTGAGCAATATAAAAGCTTTGCAAGCATGTATTCTTTTCTTATTGAGTTTGCATTTTGTACCTGCTAATAAGCTTTATTCTTTCATCTTAAACACCAGCTCAACAGCAAGTGAAAAAATGTTAGTAAGTTATTAGACCCAAACCTGGCCTGTGTTTTTATCATCAGCCATAAACTACGATAAATCTACTAATTTTTATTTTCAAATGTTTGCCCATTTTTGACCAAATAGTGAACTCTATTTGCAACGAGTGCTTCATCCACAATACTTCACACTCTGTATATAATGCATCGATCCCTTGGTGTTCAGAAAGKTGCAGCAGTGACTGTTTTACTTGTATTAGTTTAATACTTAAAAGCTAAAACTTTCCTTAACAGACCATTTCTTCAAACTGAAGTAAAGTGATCTTGAGTTAGTGGAAAACACTCGGCACYGATTACAAATACCTCAAAGCCAATMAGAAGCTAAAGCGCTTCGCTAACCATCGTCGTCCGCCTCGATTCCCTTCTGCATCGAATTTCATTCCATTATGMTCATTTGTTTTTTTGCAAAAACTATCAATTTGTAGCAGCTGCAATTCACCTTAAGACTGTGTTCTCGTCGACTAACTGCGAGCATCGTGATATCTGTAAAGCAGAGAAAAAAACAACCACAAAAACAACATGAATGTGTTGAATTATAAGGAGCAGGGATACCATGAGAGGTGTTTTGAAAGGTGTACTGAGGCGATATATTGGCGAGGCTGACGATGTCTGATAGACTGAACATGGGACAAAAAGCAGCATTAGCATAGTTCTAACAATWTTGGGAAATAGAAGGTTTTTTTGGAATGTGAAGGTTTTCCTCAGAGACCGGAACAAAGTGTTTAAACAGTACTTAGAGTCATAGGTTGAACAATCTATATTATAAGTGGTTCTGCTCAGTATACTCARTAAAGTTTTTTCTGTGTTTGGGATGTTAGGTTTTTGTTAGGTTTGGTGGTTAGAGGTGAAGTCAACTATAGCAGTAGTAACTAGGATCTTTTTTTAATCAGATAAGAGGCTGTTTTAACCCCCCACACAGACATAAAGATAAACACCACGTGGTCTTCTCTGTAGTTAGCAGGGTCAAAGTCAACTTAGGGGGTTACTGAGAGGTGAAAGGTCAGGGCTGGGAGCAGGAAGCTGGCGAGGCGGATCTCGGAGAAACACTGAGAGGCGATCGGTGAGTTCGATGCTGCAGTAGGAGAACTGAAGGAGAAGGCCAAAGGGAGGTGACTGCGCCGTGTTGGGTCGGTTGGTTGGTTGGTCTGTCGAGCGGCAGGTCGGCGGGCGTCATGCACGTCCCGCCGAAATCTGCAGGTCACTGGGAATCAATCTGAGGAAGGCAAGAAAAGCAATGTCAGAAAACCTGGCAGGAAAGAAAATCTGGCACCAAGTTGGGCTTGGAAAGATTTTGGTTTCAAATTTTATCGATCAGGTGGTCTGTGGCAGTAAATGCATGTTGATCTGAAATCACAGGCCAACACGTTTCTCTTGTATTTTTATAGAATTAGYGCTGCAGCCATCCGTCAATAAGGCTGCGTCTGACAGCATTGTTAGGTGGAAGGAGGTGGCTGTTCCTTTGAAYGCAGAGAGTCTGGAAGCCTGTAGTGCAGAAGATTAATTTATCCTGTAAGACTAGTTAATCTTCACTCTGTAGGTCTCCTCAGAATTTCATTTAATGCCTATTTTTATCACTGCAGCAGACATGGAAAAAAGGCACAAATTCACATGAGTGCACGTACACAGCTGAGGTTAAACAGCAGTACATTACTAATGAATGATTAAGTTGTCTTTAATTTATTAATCTGTTGAAAATAAGTCAATATTTTAGTGATAATCAGCTCAGAAAGTGTCAATAAAATAAACCTGTACATCTTTTGCTGACACATTTTTGAACCTGTGATTTGATCAATTTGAAAGGGCCTGTGACATGCTTATACTTCAAATACAAAAAGTCAAAGAAAACATTTATATTTAAGAAAATTGGCATAATACACGTGATTTTACACATTTTGTCTCATAACTGGCATATTTTCTCTTGAATTTGGCTCAGCAAAGTAAAACAGGAAGTGACATCAAAGGGGAACTYTTTMAGAAAAGAAACTCTCTAGTCTCTAGTCTTTGTTTATCGAAACAATCTTATTTAAACTCCTCTTCAACTCTGATAGTGACTCAAAAWAATCTAAATAAACATCAGATTCTTCTCTAATTATTGTAGCATCGCTCTGTTTACACGCAGCTATTACCCTTTGACATCACTTCCTGTTTCTTCACATGCAAATATCTCAACAAATGTTCATCTCAACGGCGTGAAATTTGATTTGCTGTATGTTATCAATGTTCTCTTTCCAAAAACACATTCATATTTATTACAAACATTTGATGTCACAGGCACTTTAAAGGCACTCATATAGTGGTGTCACTTATATAATTTCCATCTTTCTTCATCTACACATATTCTCATTCGTACACAGATAAGCATAATTTTGGCAGCAGGGGTATATTCTCCACCCCAAAAATACGTACTGTAATTCGCTAAAGGACCTTGGAGTCAACTCTCCAATTCCTCAGTTGGAAGACAGCTTCCCTAACAGAACAAAAACTGCCATCTATTGACCTAAGAGGAAGCATTAAAGGTCGAATCTTAGTAACCACAAAAACACAGAAAAGTTGTGTAGCTCTTCTGTGCTTTTATTTATTTTTTTGGTCACGTGTCATAACCATACCCGTGTTGCACAAGAAGACTGTTAAATTCTGAGTTAAAAATCAAAAGATGTTTAGCCTTTTATTTTTGTTTAAATCAAAGTTACCTGTGTGTGTGCTTGCACCTACTTGTCTCAGTAATGCGCTTGTCTATGCTAATGGGCTCCCTCAGTCCTTCTCCTCCAAAAGGAGTGGGTGTGGGCTCCTTCRTGCCATTTTCCTTAACAACACCTCCTGGTGCTGCTGCCTTAGCAATGTCTGCCGCTCCTGTTGTTGGAGCGCCACTCGGAGGTGTCTTCTCTCCTGTTTTCTCCTCCTGCAGCCAAATATAGATGAAGACAAGGACACACACAAACAGGTGGGCAGAAAAAAAAAGTTGTTTTTTTAATATATCAGACTCAAAGTCTTACTCCATCTAGCGGTGTCAGACAGTAACAGCACAGTGAATCAGCACAATGTGTTTGAGCTGACACAGATTTTAAGTTTGACCTTGTGTCCGTTGGTCTGCCCGTTGCCTTGTCCTACGTTGTCCAGGGAACCGATCTTGGACTTAGCCTTGATGTTCAATTTGTGGGACTCGATCTTCACGTCACCACCTCCTGTGGAAAAAATGAAYATTCAATGTGAGAAGACAGATTTTAAAGTGTCTGTGAYGTCAAATTTTTGTAATACATAWGAATGYGTTTTTGAAAACATGTCATTGACAAAATATTGCAAAAGAAATTTCATGTCACTGAGATGAACAGTTGTTGAGATTTTTGCCTGWRAAGTAACAGGAAGTGATGTCAAAGGGGAATGTCTGAATGTGAACAGAGCGTTGCTACAACAGCCAACAACCCAGACTGTAGAGAAGAATCTGATGTTTATTAAGATGATTTTGAGTCACTATCAGAGAGATGAAGAAGAGTCAGAGTTCAAATAACATGGTTTCAATAAACAAAGAGAGTTTTCTTTGTTAAAGAGTTCCCCTTTGATGTCACTTCCTGTTTCACTTTGGCTGAGCCAAGTTCAAAACAATATATGCCAGTTAAAGGACAAAATGGGTAAAACTGTGTGTTTTGTTCCAACTTTAACTATAAAGATATTTTCTTTGACTTTCTGTATTTGAAGTATATGCATGTCACAGGCACTTTAAGCTAAAAAACACACATGGGGGAAACCGGAGTGCAGAGTCAGACCTGGTTTGTGTTTGATGTTGTCCTTGGAGCCACATTTGGATGTTACTTTGCTCACATCAACCTTCTTATTCAAGATTTGCACCTGGGGGGRAAAAATGATAATGTTTCATAAAATATCACATGTAGTACAACACATGTATATTTCAGCATCCACAGCATTCATCTTATTAATAATGCTTCATGAAAGAAAATGGTCGACACAACACAAGCTTTTTAAAATAAGCGTGTGTTCCTAGTTTTTTGAACAGCTTTGTTGTCACAGAMGTTGTTTTTATTTTGTGAGGCCCAGAGAGGATACTTCTTTATGCAGACAGACCAGAAAAGAAAATAGTTTGTTGGAAAAAAGCAAACACAGTTATTCTTCTATTTTCAGAACTTGAGAGGTTTTCTTGCTCAGGAGCGGGAGGCACTGGTTTTTAAAACTGGAGAACCGGAGGCCTAATGACCGCTGACCAGCAGCTTTTACTCAACAGTGGAGTCCTARTAACAAAACATAACTAAATATTTTACAGTTCATTTTTATGGAACGATTTTAAACTGTAAAAATCTACTCACAGCTTTAGTAAACACAGACAACTGGAGAATTTGTAATGTTTTACTGTATTTGCTCACTTGAAGAGAAATTAACCTTCAGTAATGAGGCTGCAACAAAATAAGCATGTTTATCCATGTTGTGCATTTTTTCATGTTATTTGTTTGTTTTAGTTTCATATTTTCTGGACATGCCAAACAAAAAAAATAAATAAATAAAATAAACATTTATACAAAAATACATACAAAGTATGTATCATAATCACAGAGGGGAAGAGAATTAGGGGTTTCCCAATAACGGTGTAGAAAATAAAAGGTACTGCTGATTTYGCTCCTTCAAAGTGGTCAAAAACAACATGCTGTGCATTTTTGGTGTTTTGAGAGAACATAAAACGGTGATCGATTTCACCAGCTCTGYTATTGTTCTGTATCTGAAGCTGTTTTAGACAATCAGCCGCATGAAGAATTAGAGTCAGATCAGAGCTCTGCGCTGGCACAGGAACTCTGTTCCCTTCATTTAGATTTAGGAGCACACCTTTTATGTTTCTTTAATCGACCTTGGATGGTAAAGTGGCAGTTGTGAGAGCAGCCAAAAGATGCAAGCAGATAGCGCAGCAGGTGTTAAGAGCAGATGGAAACAACATCTGGAGGGGTGGACACTCACACGTGAAATCAATCAAAAGTGCGAGCAGTGGCCGTCACTGATGTGCTAATTACAACGCATTCAGTCCTGGCTACTTTGAAAACCGTCCGTTTTCAATTAAACATTTGATACAGGAAGCGAGGCCTTTATAGTTGAATTTAATTYGCCCTCCTTGATGAATGCTAAGATTTACTAAATTTGTATGCAGAGGTCCAACCAGGGGAAATTTAAASATGCAGCACACTGGTTTTACATCAGTAGTAGTGATGGTCTGATGGGTTTTAAAATTAAGGCTATGAATGTATGACATGTGCACAAATCTTTCATGCAGGACTGAAAAATAAATAAACCYGATGTGAACGTGTCCACCCTGACCAGAGTCTGCCTTCAGCTCCAGCAGTACTTACATTGCCACCTCCAGGGACATGTTTGATATTGTCCTTGGAGCCACAGCGAGAGGTGATGTGGCTGAAGTCCAGCTTTTTATGCACTATCTGAACCTAAAGACAGGCAGGCAGACACCCAGGGATGAAGAGAGACAGAGAGGGAGAAAGAAAGAAAGAAAGAAAGAAGGAAAGAAGGAAAGAAAGAAAGAAAGAAAGAAAGANGAAAGAAAGAAAGAAAGAAAGAAAGAAAGAAAGAAAGAAAGAAAGAAAGAAAGAAAGAAAGAAAGAAAGAAAGAAAGAGAAAGCAGATCAGCTGGCAGCTTTAGTTGACAGGAAATAGAGCAGACTTGTTTAAGAAGGTTTGTTTTAGTCCATCCATTTAATTCCTTCTATGTGAGTGGTTGTTATGTGACGCCAACATTAAAAATCAGTAAGTATGTTTCAGGACAAAGCAAGTGCGGTTGTAAAGTAAAGTGCTAATGGGGATACATTTTTAACAGTCAACCCATACAAAATGTATGTTAAAGTGCCAAAACCTGAATCTACAGGAGAAATAACAGAGTGCCCCTTTTTAAACTACATGAACAACAATTCAAACAGCACAGAACACAGAGTGTAAAATAAAAACACGGCACATGCAACAACATAACCAAAAGGGTCAATCAGTGGTTTGGGGGTTAACATGTGCTTCTCAAAACTGACACAAGATGCTTTAATTTCAAAAAGATGATGGAGAAGTGTTTCTTAAAGAGATTGTTTWATGGTTATTTGGAGTGCTGGGATGGTATGATATGCTTTATGAGTCAATGAAAATATGAAACAAAGAACAAACTCCTTCACTTCTCATGATACTGATGTGTTGATCTTATGCTTGAGTCCTGACCACTCTCTAATCAAAAGTCACAACGATGAGCAGCTGAGGTTGAGTGATATTTATGGGTTCGGTGGAAAGATTAGGAACAATTAATATTTATTTCCTGTAYGTTTTATAGCTCTGTGGACAATCTCAGAGTAAAATTCGGAACAAATCGACAAGCTAAAGGTATTCTGGCCAGGACCAAAGTGAATTACTGTCCAACTCCAATCTATAAAAAAMATCACAACAGCTTATATGAACACTGTGGTATAAACTTTTATGTCACTGTCAACATCACACTGCACACTTATTCAGGCAAAAATAGTGATTTTTCTGCAAGACTAGTGTGCATTAAACATATAGCTGTGAATTTGCAAAATTTAAAATGACATTTGTACGAACAGCTATGAAATATTTAAGACCAGAGTTGGCTATTCTTGCACAGCAGCAATCCTCTTTGGTGTTTGCTCCACTGGGACTAGCTGTTAGCACTTTAATATGGTGAGATTTTCCGAACTGAGGCCAAAATAACTTTTGTTCATTGTTTTTCCACAGATAATCACTTCAACAGGTCTGAATAATCGCTTTAAGACTCAACAGTGTATCTTTTACCTCTTAAAGCTCATCAAACTACTATGAAATTTTGTGGGATTAATGGTGGGGGGAGGAGTGAGATCACCTGTTTATTTTAGTTTCACTCAGACACTCAGTATTTCTTTTCACCATTATGATGCATGCAACGTTTGCTCCACATGTAGCGGATTGAAATCAGCAATTAATGCATAAAGATGCAAATGCATATTAAATGTTTATAGTCATGTCCCTGATGATGAAACAGATTATTTATTTACTTGGAATCTGTTATTGTTATTGCAGTCAGATCAGTGCTGGAAGGTAAATCCTTCCTGTGTTGTTGTGGGATCAGTCTGTGGTTGTGTTGTGGAAAAGAAGCCCAGCAGCCGACGTAAGGYGCCTTCTTCTTCCAATCTCTTTGTGTCGAAGTCTCTTTTTTTTTCTGGATGAAAATGGCATGATGACGCAGGTGGCAGCAGCAAAGGATGACTCACTGAGCATTCAACACGTGAGCAGACACACACACACACACATGCACGCACGCATGCACGCACGTACACACACACACACACACAGAAAGCGCAGCTGCCTGTAAACAGTTTTCCTCTGTGTATTTTTCCTCTTTAACAGCACATGGTAATCATCCTGATTGATATTAATCTGTCAGCTGGCTGTGAGGCWATGGTTCTTCCCGTCTTCCTACTATCTGCGTGAAACAAGCTAAACTCTTGCTAACAAGCAAGACGCTAACAATTTTCTGCTGCATTACTACGACAAAACATGCAACCCTAAGATTCCGTCAATGCACTATAATTATTACATCGGTCTATTAAAAAAAAGCATTTCTTCTTGCCTTCTCACATTTTTTTATGCATGATTTTTGTTGTCGCTGACTGGGAGTTGAAAGGATTGGGGCTGTGAAAGCACAATCGGGGAGCAAACAGTGTTACACGTTTGCAGCTTAGCGAGCTGTCAGATGGTTGAAGAGTGGTTCTTACGTGTTTTTTTATTCAACTTTTGTTATGTTAAGCTTAGGAAAACATAAGAATCACAGTCAGCATGTTGGGGAAAAAAACTCTGTTTTATACAAAAAGGGTTATAARGAAACTGTGCCACTTAGGAAGCCTTTTAGAAAGTTTTTGGATATGCAGGTGTGAATAATGGTATTGGACAACAAGGAGAGAGGATGTACTTTGGCTACATGAAATAAAGCTCATGTACAGTGGAAATGAAAAACACCGAATCAAAACAAAGAACTTCTCCAATGTTACTTTGTCAAACTCCACAGTCATCGAAGCAGCAGAAGAGGTATAAATGGTCACAGAAAGCATTTCCAAACTCCCCTTTCACACAACTGTTTCCTACTACCACCACAAATATAAGCCCCTCTATACGCTGCCTCTTGTTCATAAATCACCAGCTGAGCTGCGTGGGACAACGGGAGCTTTCATTAACGTATTTGCTCATTTACTTTCATCGGCTGCAATGCTAGCTGATGACGCACACGTTCACGATTTCCTCAAGACAACTGTTGTTTTGAGACGAACAGGTGCAAACTGCAGTGTGCTGATGGCGGTCATGTTCATCTTCATGTAGGCACGGGCAGCAAACTGTGGTGGTGGGAGGTGGGTGGATGCGGGATGGGTGGTGTTTGTGGAGAATGCCGGTCGGAGGAGGGATGATGTACTGGTGTGTGACGTGGCACGGACTCACTCTGGCCTTGGTGGCTGGGGTGGAGGGGTCGGATGTCTTGCTGTTCGGGGTGGAGGAGACCTGGGGAGACAACCAGGCCCCCGGTCATTACAACCTCAAACCAACCACGTGCCACAGCACAGCGGAGGGGTGGGGGCATGAGGCTGATCAAAAGGAGAATCAGATGAGTGTGGGGGCAGCTTTTACAATCGGTTAGAAAGTCGCACATGGGAYGAAAAATAAATATTCAGCTTTAATGTAAACCATCGCTTTAGCCAAACCTGTGGCTGAAATACAAATGTAGCTTTAGCATTAACTGAATGTTAGCCAGTTTAGAAAAAGATCAAATGTGGTGCATCAGATGGATGGAGGCAGCCAACCAAATGGCAAGAGGCTGCAACAGATGGAGCACTTTAGAGAAAAAAACAAAACAAAACAAAAAAAACAACAACAGGACAACGATTGGTGAATAAGTAGATTAGTACCAACAGATTAAAATTGCATTATATAAGTCACAAGAAACAATTAAACATCGGGACAAAAAAACCCCATCAGATTTATAACATTAAACCACATTAAATCACATTAATTCAATGTCATACCCTCAAAACTCAGAGGATGGAAATGTTAAGACAAATAAACAGATTAAATGAAAAAAAAAACACGTTTACAAGACACTCATTGAGTAAAATGACAAAAACAGAAACAAGATGGCACAGAAGGAACAAACCTACAGTTTGGTGCTGATGCCTTGAGACATTTTTGGACTTTTCTTTCTTTGAATAAGTTGGGCTACTTTTACAGAAAGCAGCTGGAGAGAAACAGCTCATTCTCAACACCAACCTGACTTTAACTGTGATCACATCCAAATGCAACAGGTTGAAAGAAACAAGGAGTCAAAGTGAATTTGAAGCTGAATAGCTGCTAAYATAGCGCATGCTCCTGGATAAATGAGGAGCACAGATGGCATCTGGGTGCATCGGTGAAGGATATGACAAATTTTACATGGCTTGTAATTCATGGTAGRGGTAGACAGGAAGTACTGCCTCTCAGTCTGTAGCTTTACAGCATTATGATTTGCATATCCAGACGGAAAAAAACTATTAATCTTGACTTTTTTGTTTTTTTTTTAAGACAAAAACGAGGTTTTCCAATAATCACAAATTCAGTCTCATTTTTTCATCTCATGCAAAATACAATTTAGGCCAAATATAGGGAAGCCTAATGTAGGGCTGGGCAATAAAACAATAACAATACATATTGTAATAGACATGATCAGTATCTATAGAAATACGTCCGATTGAATGTTGATAATTTCACTGAGCTTGTAGGCAGAGAAACAGCTTTAGCTGCTCGCAATGTTGGTGGCATCAAATAACTCACTCACTCATTGATACACTAGCAACAACCTGCTGAGTAACRTGTRCAGCAGCAGTTTCAYRYTTCACCACACTGCCTCACAACTGCTTCAAAATAAAAAAGAACGACACGGGGTGAAAGGAGAAAATGAGCAACAGCTCAGRAGGAAATAGTGGATAAAAGAGGAAAGGTTACATCACCAGTTTGGCAGGATTAATCAGCCTTTGGTGAGCTTAYGGTGATACRTTTTTCAGCCATATCGCCCAGTCCTAACCACACTTCATGTTCTGTTTTACACCAAATGCTACTTTAAACTGGAACTGCAAATCAAAACATCAGGCTGAATGGAGCCATAAACATKACAGTGGGCTCATCAGAGACCCACAAAGTAACTTGTGTTTTTCAGTATAACAAGAAGTTGGCAACCCAGAAAAAAAACATTTAAAAGAGGGTCATCTCTCTGACCTACAAGGTAACATTTTTAATTGAATTGCTTATTGTTTRGATACAAACACTAGTTACTGATGCAGCACTCCAAATGTCAATTGGAGGCCTCGGTCAGGAGAAGATCTGACTTTGTGACAGACAACACAGCASGAATGGACAAATGACGCTGAGCCGGGCTGACACATTAATACAAAGCAGGACAGGCGGACAGAGGATCACGTCTGTGATTCAAAGCGACAGCGCAATCCTCTTTCCAAGACCAGAGAGCCACAAACATTGATGAGACAGAGACAGACAACGCAGCCAGGTCACTGAGACGTTACAGCCCRTGACATGCCGGGCCGCTGGTTTTGCGASGCATCAATGTTACCGTTAGCGCRCACACACACACACGGTTCACTTTCTTCCAAGTGTTCCTGTATGTGTGTGTGCAGAGCGGGGGACTGTGAGGGTGCGAGACAGATGTGTGAGGAAAAACTTTCATCAAAGCATTAGGCAATGATGAATGCGAACAACGCTACACAATAAAAGGGTGCAAACAGACAGAGTCAAAGCTGGATGGCATATGGAAGCCAGAAAAAAGGGAAAGATTTAATCACGGAGATGTGTACAGCAGCCATAACTCTTCATTCTAAAAACAATTATGATAAACATTTTATAAAATCTACTTTCACTTCATTTAGCTTTGCTGCTTCAGTAYTGATTCACCACAGAACTGAAATCACATATTTTGGTAAGTATTTTAGTAAATGTAAAAGTATAAAATAAAATAATTTGTGGTTTACATGCGATTAAAGACAMATGTTGTATTTTGTTGTGCAGGAAAGAACATTGAAGCCACAGTTTAGATCTGTTAATGTGGGGTTCAGTGAAAAGTTATGAGAAAAAATATCTTACTGCTGCTGAATAAAATAATCYGTTTGGTGCAATTAAAAAACAAAAAGAGCTAAAAGTCAGTTCAAATGTAGCAAAAACCAAAYTGAATTTCTCTTGTTTCAAAGCACTTATTTGCTGTTTAGTTGGAGCATCTCTGGTAAAGTCTGTAACGTTTTTATTGTTTTTGCTATAATAATTGTCTCATAAAACAATCATTGGTGGTGTAATGATTTAAAAACAGWATTTCCACGAATCTCTGTAAATATTTAGAGACACGTTTTGGGACTAGCCGTTGGCTCATCAGYCTGGTCTAGTTCTCCAAACTGAGGTGGTTCAAAGACAAATCTACATCAGGTAAGATAATATTTTTTTATAACCCGTCTTCAGAATCTCACTTTAACGGGTCTAAAGATTCATATGGATTTACTATTCTGACGAGTTCTACTCATACAGACACAATGAATTAAAATTTCTCTTTAACACCCCTAAAAAGTAATTTTTTTCTTTATCTTTTTCACCTAACATTTAAATGAAAATAATTTAGATTTTAAGACATTATATTTTTACTTTTCTATTTAAGCTTTTCCAGTGTCACAAAATAAATAGGACCACGTTCTAAATTAGCTGATTACCTTTCATTATGCCTTGTGCTTTTAGTATTGTCATGTTAATAATTTTGTGCTGTAATAAAATGGAATCGAGCAGAGGCGTACCGAACGCCTGTACAGTTCAGCTGAAAGCAGCCTGGATATTTTCAAAGATCTCTCAAAGAAAAAAACTGGCCAGCTACGGTAATTAGTGCCAGGTAATTGGCGTTACCTTCTGGCCAGAAAATACAGCACRAAACAGAGAACAAAAAACTCAGCAGCCCCTTCCACTTATATGTGACCTGCAACACTTCAACATCTATTTAAGCTTTGCAGCTTTAAAGAAGAGATTTTCTATTATTTCTACCTGGCCTCTGCTTGTACATTCTGACCATTACTCTACTTTTATAGCTGTGCTGTTTATCAAAAGCATTCTTTAAAACAGTATGGTAAAATGGTTCCTATATATTAATAACCATACTTTAGATGCATTTAAGCACAGTATTATTGTAATTTCTTAAAGTGTCTTGTTTCTTCTCCTGGTTTAGCACAGAGTATTATATGTTGCTATGATTTGGCATTGGTTCCTCTAAAGAACAAACCAGCTGCTCTGCTGCTACAGGAAACTCTTTTGTATTGATTTCAGGACTCCTGACAGGCTCAACTCAGCTCTGAATAATTCATGGACCGCTGTGGTTCCAACAGCTCCGGCTCACCTTCCCTCCTCCTGGCTGGTACTTGATGTTGTCAGTGGATCCGATCTTGGAGCGCACATTCTTTAAGTCTGGTGTTGGAGCGTAGATGGGCCGCGGGGTCCGGGGAGGACGGGGCGCTGTTGGCTTCTTCTCCATTGGGGCCTGCTTGGGCACGGGGGGTTTCGTGATGACTCTGCGGCGATGAGCCGCTGAGCCGTCGCCGTTGGTGGAGGCAGCCGGGGCGGCAGGAGCGGCTGTGGAGGTCGGACGAGGACGTGCTATGAGAAGAAACAAAGAGACAGATTTTTTCTTTCAGAATTTTTTGTGAAATCTYAAATAATACAAAAAGATGTTGTTTATGGTGCGTAAGTTAAATGTGCTTTTATTCTGGTATAAAACCTCTCATTCAGTGTTTTACTTTTCCTACCTGTAGTCTTGGGTTTCTTGGCCTCTCCTGTCTTGTTTTCAGTCTTGTCATTCTTATTTGCTGAGTGGAAAAAAACACATTGTTAAGGGTATGTGTTGAAAATGAAGTCATACTGTAACACCGAGACTTCATTAAAGTACTTATATATTCATTCTTCCAGGTGTTTTTGTAAATATAGTAAATTTTAGCTTCATTGGTGGTTGATTGGTACAATGCTTTTCCCTTTTAATTCGTTAGTATAGTTGCATTCAAGTGGTTGATGAATTTCTAGGTTAGTTAAATTTCTTGGGGAGATGCGTGTTTAKAATACATTAAGTAGATTTTTATTACTCCTCCGGGTGTGTTCAGGCTTAGAYGAGTTATTTCTAATGAAATGACTAGATGCAATACAAAAAAATGATGCACCTTGCTTTGAGTCTCTGATGTTTTTAAAGCTTCTTTTAGATTTTTAATGGTATTGCATTATGTTTTAAGATAAAGCATAAAGTATGTATTTATATGCAACAGTGGGGTAAGTACTGAGTATTGAGACCAAGAGAAATTTTTATGCAAAACAGAAAAAAAAGCCAGCATCCATCCATTCATGGWTTGCTCGTAGGGTCTARAAGAGAAACCCAGACATTTCTCTTCCCTRCAACACTCTCAGTCTCCAGACATGTTGCTTCCCATCTGGGAAAACCTTGAGATATTCCAAGGCGTTCCCAGGTCAGAGAACATACATGTAATCCCTCCAATGAGTTCTGGGTCTGCCCCAAGTTCTCCTAATGGTGGGATGTTCGCTGAAAAYCTCCAAAAGGAGGAGTCCAGGAGGCATCATWATCAAATACATAAGCTACAYCATGCCTCCTTAAAGAGACAAAGCTGGTGATAAATCAATTCAATCTCTAGACATCAAGCAAATATGATAAAGTACTGACTTTATCTTTACTGTTCTGCAGACATCTTTAGGTCTAGTAACATATAACTCTGAAACGGTGGTGTTCTGTCATTAAGTGCCAGAAGTCTCAGATCTGGATTATGTTGCTGCCTTTTGAGCAACACCTCCAAATCTGAGTCCATAGTTTCTCAGTTGGAAAGTGTGGATTGCTCTCTCTAGGTCGGGAGWGAGGTTCTGCCTCAAGTGGAGGAGTTCAAGTATCTTGGGGTTTTGTTTATGAGYGAGGRAAAAATGGAGCGTGAGACTGACAAATGGATCGGTGTACCTTTCTCAGAATCAAAGACTCTGTGCCATTCTGTTGTGTTGAAGAGGGAGCCAAGCTCTCTACTGGTCGATCTMCTTTCCTACCCTCACCTATGGCTACAATTTTTTTTATAAGGACTAGGTTTGGGCAACATTGACATACAAATTTATCACAGTTAATTGTGGCATAAATACATCATCACAAAGTGGTGAATATTAATTTTTGACAGTTATACTGATGGTTAATTGCACACTAAGATTTTGCACAACCCTAGTAGTCTCTAAAAGAATGAGATTGTGGATGCAGGCGGTCAAATTGAGTTTTCTTTGCAGAGTAGCTTGGCTCTCCGATAGAGAAGTTCAGTTMTCCAGGARAGATTCAGAGTAGAGCCGCTTCTCCTCCACATCAAGAGGAGCCAGTTGAGGCGGCTCGGCATCTGGTAAGGATGCCTCCCTAGGGAGGTGCTTTGGGCATGTCTCACTGGGAGGAGACCAAGACCCAGGAAACACTGGAGAGACCATGTCTCTTKGCTGGCCTGAGGATGCCATGGAATCCTCCTAGAAAAGCTAGAAGAGGTGGCCGGGGAAAAGCTGCTACCCSTGCGACCCGACTCTGGAACAAGTGGAAGATAATGGATAGATGGATGGRTGAGAACCTCACTCAATCRARCCTGAACTTTTGCAGTATATCTCTTACTGCAAACTGAGTGGATATCTTATTCTTTATGAGCATTGAGAGACAAAAACACTGCAGGTTGACTCATAGCTTCCCTTCATTTAGAGGTGAGATATTGTTTTGTGAAGTGCAGATAAAAATACTAGTGTGATGTCCTCTAATGCTCCCTCTTGAACCTGATAAAGAGCAGCGTATGATAGCAGTTCAGCAGTTTTTGTAGCCTGAAGAGGTGAGGGCGTGACTCATTGCTCAGCCATTGTACAGTGTTCAAGTAGCCACAATGCTAGTGGGATGAATGAAGCCGCTTTCTGAGACGAGAGTGATTTTTTAAAATGGTGTAGATGCATTGAAAGTGGTACTGCTGTGTGCGTATACCTGCGGCTTTATTTGCAGCCGGTGCAGAGGAGCTATTCTTACTGACTGCTGAACGAGTGGTGGTCTTCGGCACAGACGGGCGTTTCTCAGTTGTACCATTTTCTGGAGTCTGAAACTCAAATAAATCAAAGAGATAAGCAGCTGTGATCATATRTCATTAATGTGTGTGTACTTGGCACTGCTGTGTGCATTAAATAAAAAAGGCTCATCATGCAGCTTTGACAAAAATTTGAGAATGAAACCATATAAATAAAAAAATCTCAGACAAGTTCTTGAAAGTCATGTGGGAATGAAGGTGCACTGAGGTTTTAATATTGTGAGATTTAAAATTAGATTTGGGACGGAGGGATGGTCGGTGATCTCATTCAGGAGGAGATTTAAAATTGAAGATAACTGGCRACATGGATGTAAGTCACCTGCGGGCCACCAGCTGAATAGTCCTGTCCTACGCAGATTATAGTCTATATCCTCAATTACATTAATGGATTCTGTAAATATGAGTTAAACGTGGTCATCACGTAAACTGAGTTACTGGATCTGTTTTTGTTAAACCTTGTCAGACATCCATCAAGGATCAGTCAATCACTGTTAAAGATCGTTTTGTCATGGCAGCAGCATTAAATGATGAAAGAGGTTGTAACACAATCACTCATTTTTGTAACACAATCACTCATTTTTGCAACACAATTATTTTATCCTGAGCAACAAGCTCATTTTTATGAGATAACATTTTTTTAATTAAAGTTGCTTTTTATCTTAAAATAACGTGATTTCTAGAAAATCACACTGAAAATGATTGCAGGCACAGCTCTTCTCAGCTTCTATACTAGAGGGTCTGAAACCAGAAATGCATGATGGGATATTCTGCTCATCTCCCAAAGGATCTTTAAACAAGTGAAGCATGAATGTTTTCTGCCAGCTGATTTATACATTAAAGGAATACATTCTCTAGATGCGTGTGAATTTTAACATTTCACACAATCACACGTCCTCAGAAGTACATCCATCCGATTGGCCCTCAGTCCAACCTGTCCAATCATCATGCTTGTACAAAGGGGATCCATTCATGTTGTGAACTCACCTTGGCAGCCTTGTTGGGGGCAGCTGCTGTTGGCGGCCGCTTGGCAGCAGTGGGCGTGGTCGCCTTGGGCGCGGGACTTTTTTTATTAGCTGTAGTGGGGGAGGGGCGTTTGGCCGAGTTGGCCTCATTATTGGTGGAGAGGGTGGATGGACGCAATTTGGCCGAGTTTGATTTGGTTGAACCCACATCAGGCTGGTGATAATGACAATAAAAGAAGCCATAATTGCAATAATTAGACAAAAAATAAAAAATAAAACCCTCAAAGGGTTTAAAAAGTAGACAAAAGAGGACAAAGAGAGAAAAAGCGGCTATAAAATCAGAGTAATGACAGTGGGATATGGCAGCACAACCAGTAACCATATGGTACTCATAAAATAGGCAATAAACGCTCAAGTTTATTTAGCATTTTTTATGCACCTCGATAAGCTTATGAGAAAAAACATTATGAAAGCATGAAGCAGCTCAAAGATTTGGAAGTCAATTCCCTTTCATGCATACAAAAAGCAAATAAATAAAAAGCTCCTGCAAACAATAGATATCAGAAAGCAGTTTGTAAATGAACTTTACCTACAAGGAAGAATGTGTTTGAGGCTGCAAACCTGGAGCAAACCACTGGCTCTTCTGCCACAGTCTGTGTGACTCAAAATGTGTGTGTGTTTGTTGTGTCTGTGTGAGTTCCTGACAATCACCTTGCTCTTGCCATCAGGGCTTGTCACCGTCTTACTGCTGTTGCCTGTGGGAGACTTGGCCGGTCCTTTTCCTCCCTTCTCCTCCTTCTTCTCAGCCACCTTCTTTTCCTCCTCCTCCTTCTTCTTCTCATCCTTGTTCGTCTTCTCCGGTTTGTCCACCTTCTCTGGCTTCTCGTTGACCTTGTCGTTTTTCTCCACATTCATCATCTCCACCTTTTCCTCATTTTTGAGGATTTTCTCTGGCTTCTGATTTTTGTCCGTGTTGTTTTCCTTCTTTTGCTGCTCTTCTTTTTTGTCTGAGGAGTCGATCTTGTCCGTCTTGCTAGGGATGACATCTGTCTTCTCCTGCTTGTCCTTATTGTCAGGTTTCACTGCCAGAATAAAATGTTTTGTTATTGTCAACTTAATTCAACAATGCAACATTTATTAAATATGTAAGTATATAAATATAGATATGTATTTTTGTTAAGGAAAGAAAAACCTGTAAGAACAGAGAAAAGTTCTTATCTAGTAAAGGAGTGGTATTTTGACCAAACACAAATGTTTAATCTCGATGTTTTACCTAAAACGGACAAATCATTCAAACTTAGAGTGGTAATATTATTCAAGAATAATTTGCCTAATTTTGAACACAATATGGTTGATTATTTACTAATTTACAAAAAATGTTCAGTTTATTTACATGCAAAAAATGTCTGCAGTTTAGAAAGTCTACGGTCATGATTTAAACGAATGATTAGSAAATACAAACAGGTGTGAATGCAGGGGGTGGTGCAGCTGAATCCTGACTGAATAAGCTTGCTGATTTACTGGTGTTATTTACGATACTTGATATTTTTTTGTGGCTGAAAGAACACAAATGAGTTTGACATTTTAAAACAAACCAAAAACAGCTTGCAAAATAGCTCGTTATGARAGAATAAAACGCAGCACTAGCTGTGTGTTTTCAGCGTGACGTCTGCAATCCCCGTCATGACCTGAATTTTGACCGGCATCTGCAATGCTACAAACACCGCTGACAGATGTTTAATAAGCTTTCAGCTTATAGCTAAACGGTAATTATCACATAAGCCATAAATGAGCCCCAAACACAACAACAGATTCCACACATGTTAACAGCAGATGACCTAAATAATTGGCTCCATTCTCCATTTGGTTCGGTTAAAAATAAATGATCAACAAATTATCTTGTATTTTAAACTACTGACAGGTAGAGGAGAATAGTTTGTTTTCCAGTGAATGTTACTGACTGCAAAACAAATCAATTAATACTTAGGATGTATTTAAGCTGTGCATATTAAGATAATAGGACCAAGTACTGTCAAAACCTGATGGTGGGGGCTGAATTTGTGTCATTATAAACATAATAAAAAGTAGTTGAGTACACCTTATTAAAGACTGGTTTTATTTGGCTTAGAGACAGGGTGCTCAAAGAATGCTTCACCCAGTTAGGTGGGGTGTTCACCCACTCATTCCAGTACCTCTTAGACATCTGTACTGTCCGCAACCAATGGAAGGAATCAGAAATCCTGCCAGTTCCATAAGAGTCCCGGCCAAACGATTTGGGCCACAGCCTTGATATTGATCCTCAGTTGTTGTTTGACAAAATGCTTTCACTACAGTTTGCCTACAAAGCAGAGTGAAGCACTGAGGATACAAGCCTCAGGTTTTTGAATACGATCACCAAGAAAACTGGACTCCACCCCAACACTGTTGTATCACCTCGCCGGCCTTCAGGTTCACGCCTCATTGGTTTTATGGATAAAGGACATCTTAAAAACAGACCACAGAATGTGTTTTTAAACTGTTTTGAATCCAATACAGAGATTTTAAAAACTGGGCCACCTCAGGGCTGGGTCATGTTTTGTCTCTGCCTAAACCAACAGCATTACTTGGAACAGAGAAGGAATAACACTTCAAATATGCCGCATGACTCTGGTAGGACGTCTGTCTGACTTAAAGGCCCTGAAAATGTACCACCAGAAAGTGCATACCCTGGTTCAAAACTTATCTGAAAACATATTGGAGTTTTTAAAGGGATCCCTGATTAGTTGTAACATTAGACTTTATTTGATAAACATTTATTTTAACTGTAAAATAAAGACTGTAAAAATACTGTAGGCTGTTCAGTTTTGTAAATTTTTAAAAGTATTTTAACACGGACAGAGCCATTTTATTTACACACAAAGCATTCTGGGTAAATGATGACGTGGATAGGTCCTCGGTGTGAGCGAGTTACATCCACCCTGAAGGTTAATCTTGGACAATATCTGATGATYKWCTCTTTTAAATGAAACCAGAGAGCGTTGACAGAGAGGAGAAGGTAGAAATGACTCAGCCTGTAACTGAAAATAYAGATGGAGGAMAACAGAGCTGCTTCATGGAAGAAGAACCTCAGTTTAGCCTGTTAGCTTTAGCATTGTGTTTTTAAATTACTGTGGATTTTTATGGTGTTTTTTTTAATTGGAGTTGAAGACAAATTTCTTGTGTTGAAGACACAAGTTTGTAGCCGGGTAGAAACCTCGAGTTGTGTTGAAGACAAATTTCTGTTTTACTGTGGAGCAGACAACTAAGCAATCTACAGTATCTCTTCATCCATCTTCTTGTTGGACTGTGCTTGGGAAAGGAGCAAATAATAAGAGATTTGTCTGTAAACACACGATTGGTCCCCTGATTTAGTCAATACAAGACGAAGCAGGAAATGAGCATGACTGATGTTTATTTTTGTAACTGAAAGAACTTATTCTCTCTGTGAATATTTTCCCTTGGATTGTTCCAAACATTACCAATTTTTTTACAAAGTTTCTCCACCATTAATATCATATATCTGTGTTTGTCACTTTGAAAGAGAGAAATAATGTATTTGTAAAAACGTCTTACCTGGTGGAAAATTTATTCTTGTTTTATTTTGTCAGACTCATTGAATATTTTGCATTTGCTTTAAGATTTTATAATGTATCCATCCATTAATAGTCTTTATCTGCTTTTACTTTCAGGGTTGCAGGGCAAGAGATGGAGTTCACCCAGGACAGGTCTCAAGTGCATCACAGGAACACAGAGACAAATAAAACAACCACTCACACACTCACTCACACCTAGGAGCAATTCAGAATGGCCAATTAAATTGGCATGCATGTTTTTGGTCTGTGGGATATTATATGAAATCAAATGCGTTCCTTAAAGAAATGTAGAGCACTCATCAGTCAACAACTTTCATGCCAAAGTTTTAAGTTAAGCTAAGGTGAGCAGATTTTCTCAATTAAATCCAGGGACATTTCCAGCTCAGAGATAGAAAAAAATATTTGTTATCAAGATGAAATGAAGAACCTTGGACAGTTACAGTTTCATTAATTTTTAAAATCATAAAGACTTTGCAAGGAATTAGCGATCAAGCACACCACACCTTATCATCCCACACAGATAATACCCCCCCCTCCAACCACCCCACACACCCACCCAGGAAGTCAATAACACAGATTTAACATGAACAACTAAATAACCTGAACAGGAAAGCTAACCAGAACAACTCATTTTTACATTCATGAACATCTTAAACAGTCATAAACATACAAACACATAACTTTAATGAAACTACCCAAAATCCCTTGCAGCCACACAAACTTTTTTCTGCTCTTCTTAAACTCTGTAACGTTAACAGCTATTACAGTTGTTGTTGCACGCAACACGCTAACTCGAGGTTTCTACCCGGCTACTGGAATAACAGGTTACAAACAACTTTTTTTTCTCATTCATAAAATGCTCAAATCAGGGACATTTCCAGGGACAGCTTTAGCCGAGGGACACGTCATCCAAAACGGGGACTGTCTCTGGAAATCAGAGACATCTGGTCACCCTAAGCTAAGCTCATCTTATAATGACAAAGAAGGATGATTTGTTTTTGTTAAACCCTGTAAATGACATCATCAAACGAGAGCTCACGAGATGTGTCAACACTCAAAGTATAAGTTCAGAATAACTCTCAGCTACTACCACACCAAAGATTAGCTCATTATCGAACCAGTTTTGTGTTCGCCAATGTCACCTGGCGGCCATCTTAAAACTGGTCGACTCCCGTTAATTACTTCAGACAGTCTGATTAAAATCACTCCAGAACACACACACACACACACACACACACACACACACACACACACACAC